ACGTTCTCCGTTGAGGCCATGCGATGCCAAACATTTGGCGTGAAAGTGGGCAGCGCAAGTGAGTGCAGGACATCTTACTAGTTGGCTTAGCTGCAAACATAATTTTTTTTACCACTCCCACAGGCGAATAGATGCATTCGTTCTTACCATCTTAATGTCCTCCCCACAAAGTTGGCAATCACCTCTTTTCAAAAATCGCTCCTTTTCCGAATGCACCTCACTTGTTGATTTCTCCACCAAGCCATACTTCTTCGTAACATGTTTCGGTGGCATAATTTCTTTCGGAAACGGCAACTCCTCAAGCTAGAAGAAAGACTATTATCTTTGAAATGTACACATGGACAGTAACAGAAGCAGACCGGAATTAGCCAACGGAATGTGAGTGCAAAACGATTCCAAGGTCGGCTGTTCAACAAATGGCACGCAACACGCAATCTATAACAGCTACTGTCAAGCAGGCCCAGGATTTAAGAATTTTCCAAGAAAATAGCGGTATTAAAGAGTATGAGAGAAAAAGAAAACTTCTAGCTGTAACTTGTTTTGATTTTCGATTACATTACAACATTTCAAAACCTACACATAAAGTGATATTGCTATATCAAAGAGAAGAGCACTAGAGACCATGCAGCGGAAACTAGTTATACCTTCAAGACAAGATTACCTATAGGCAAATGGAGTTTCTTTCCTGCTTTTCTTTAAAGCTAAATCTTTGATCACACGCGATTTCTCCGGATTTTGCCAAGCCCATTCGAATCGCAGTGCAGCTACACTGTTAGGGAAACCATGAATTATGCAAACCATATCCCTGCAAACGAATACATGAGAAAATGAAAAATCTGAGTGAAAAATGAACGAAGAAAGCTTGAAATACTCTTACCAAGGCCCTCTGTTATCCGTTTTCTTCGCTCCACCTTTCTCTCTACCTCCATTATGTTGCTGTATTCGCCGATTCGGATCCACCGTATACCCAATGTAACATCGATTCTCAAAGTTTCCAAGCAACTTCAAAACAAAGACTTTGAAATATGGGGAGGGAAGTCACCTTATAGTGCTTCACCGGACTTCTGCTGATCAGGCAGTACACACCAAAAAATTCATTTAGGACAGTTGGAACTTTTGGTGTCCTTCTCTTTCGAGGGCTTATCAATGCTTTTGCCTGAGCTGACTGCGTCCCCTCGTCAAGGTCCGAAAAACATACTATCTCTATTATAGAAAATTCAACAAATAAGAATATGAGATAAGCATATGATGAAATGAAGGGAGGAAAGAAACTTTAAAAAAAGACTCTACCTTGGACTTGCTGCTGTATTGGCACAGGCTGTGAAAGCGATCGTCGAGGAAGTTCAGTCAGCCCAAAGGAAAAGCGCTTTCCGGGATCATCCGTGTATGATCGTGGTATGCCTTCGATTGGTGAGGGAGACTAAACTGATCAGTACTAAACAGTAGGAGGAAGTATGAAAATACGAGGGGAATAAAATACAAATAACAGAAGTAAGGATAAGAAAGCAACAGCGCGTTTAAACCATTCAGCTAACAAAAAAAGGAACAAACCTCAGAATCACGTGTATTTGAAGGGGTGTCCAATATGAAGACATCGCTGTCATCCATCAGCTAATCAATTAGAAGGCAAGCCACTGAAGTGTTCAATAATCGATAGGCAATAACATTCAAATGAGTGGTATGCTAGAGTGTCAAACAACAATGAACAATCACGTAAGACTTGAGCAATTTAAGACGTGAAATTTTATCGATTTCATGTAGGCAGTATGAATAAGCAATTGAAAGATCATTACATATAACCGTATAAGAAATGTAACAAGTACATAATCAACAAAACCGAATTTCACGTCGTGGAAATTCGAAGCACGATGACAACAAGGATATTTACAGAATGTTCTCTAGAATATGGTCGAAAATTGATGAGAAGCTGAAGGCAGTCATTGTGACAGTCTCGCAACTTTCTCGAAGCCATCCAAGCGAGTAAAGTGAGCTCGTAGCTTGTCATTTAATGTAGTGAGAAGCTGCAAGTTGGACATGAGTAGCGATGAAAACGAATCGATGATCAACAATAATCAAACAAAAACAAAACAACTTTAAGACAAGAGATAGACCTGCTTACCGCTGTTTCCTTGCATTTCATTCCGAGATCCAATAAGTCATTAATTGCGCTGACAGGAAGCCACACCCTCGATTCAACGGAAGTTATCTGCAAACAATAGGCACAATACAAAAAGAGTTCTTTTGCCCACAAGCAAAAATTTTTGAAAAATTCTTTTTCACTTTTTTTGTTTCCTCTTCCACGCAACTCGCTGCTACTTTCAACCCTTGCTTGACTGCTCCGTATTCAACAAGGCATCGTAAATAACCGCCCATGTCACGCTCCTATTACATAAATGTGTATACAGTATTAAAACAACTTCACGTGAACAAACCGTGTATTCCGCTTCAAGCCAACATGGAACAGGAACATTATGACTAAGGAATGCCTGTGTTACTGCGCGCAAAGAACGTGAGTCATTCGGCCATATACGTTGG